GGGAAGGGAAGCAGGCTCCCTGCTGAGCAGAGAGCCTGATGCTGGGCTGATCCCAGGACCCTGGGATCATGACCTGAGCCCAAGGCAGAGGCTTTAACCCACTGAGCCACTCAGGTGCCCCAATTATCCTCTAGTTTTAAAGGTAAAGTATTTACAATCCTTGGGACTTGTCAGAAATGCCCACTCATCCCCGAACAAAAATACGAGTCATTCTAATTCTAAGAAAACACTGTTAATTACCTACTTCCTGATATCTAAAGTGTTTCTCCTTATAAAATACTCAATGCTTCCTGCATCCTTAAAATTTCTGTCAAAAATCAGACTAATGATGACTAAAATGCATAATGCCTTTATGAAGTATTCTGCTCTTGTTTCCCTTAAGCCCTGTTCCCTGATCCCTAATGGAAAGGGAAAAAAAAGAAAACAGATCCTGAAATCTCATCAAGCCTGCAAATCTATCAAGCAGATCAGAGAAAATAAAGGTGGCAGAGAAACATGCTAAAATACACAAAAATGTAACCCACAGAATCAAATCTGTGGAAAACAGATGAGATTACGAAATATTATTTTAAGTATAAATGGTACTGGGATTATGTTTATAAAAGCAATCTTTTTATCTTTTACTCTGCACTATTCTTTTTTTTTTTTTTTTTTTTTTTTTTTTGCAAAGGGGTGTGGGGGGCGCAATTGAGAGAATCTTAGGCAGGCTTCACACCCAGTGTGAAGCCCAAGCAGGGACTCAATCCCAGAACACTGAGATCAGTATCGGAGCCAAAATGAAGAGTCAGATGCTTAACTGACTGAGTCACCCAGGTGCCCTTACACTGTTCTCTTTTATATATATTTAAATTGAGATGTTTTAGAAGACAGTAAAAAAATTAATTAAGCTGGGGCACCTGGGTGGCTCAATGGGTTAAAGCCTCTGCCTTCCGCTCAGGTCATGATCCCAGGGTCCTGGGACTGAGGCCCCACATCGGGCTCTCTGCTCCGCAGGAAGCCTGCTCCCCCGCCACCAACCTGCCCCTCTGCCTACTTGCAATCTCTGTCAAATAAGCATATAAAATATTAAAAAAAAAAAAATTAATTAAGGTGTAAGAAAACAAATACTAATCATTGTTCATTTCACTACACATTAGCTGGTAAGACTGCTGTCACACATAAAGAACTTGAATTATGCTACAGATGTTAGTTTTCTGGAAAGAGAACTGGTAGGGTATCCACAAGTCCCTTCATTTTGGTACGTGTCAACAAAATAATATACAGCAGTATTAACAGGATTAATAAAATCAGAAGTACAACTTCCAGCAAATTTAACATGTAAGAAATCTGAAGATCTTGATAATAAATAGGAATGAATCCTCATGGTCTTCACTGGTTGTAGTTGTATTTGTTGTAGTTATATTTAACCACTGGTTGTGGGTATATTTATAATGCAATTTTTAAAAAATTTTTTTTAAAGATTCTATTTATTTGAGAAGCAGACAGCACAAGTAGGGGGTAAGGGGCAGAAACCGAACATGAAGCTTGATCCCAGCACCTCAGATCATGACCTGAGGTGAAGGCAGATGCTTAACCCACTGAGCCACCAGACGCCCTTATAATGCAATTTATCTTTCATGTTTCCTTTAGTCTTCACAGCCACTATATTAGTAGGCATTATTTCCATTTTAGAGGTAAGAAATCCGTGATTACATGACTTTGGTCATAAGCTTCTTTGCTAACTTTGAAGTCTTCAGATTCAATTGTTCTTTCCTACATTCCGTATCAGCTGCCTCTCTACCATTAAGAGTAAGTAGAAGAAAGCTAGATGGTAACGAAATGATCTAGGGGTTCTTGGTGGCTCAGTCAGTCAAGTGTCTCACTTTGGCTCAGGTAATGACCTGGGTCCTGGGATGGAGCCAGTCATCATGCTGCATCAGGCTCCATGCTCAGCAGGAGTCCTCTTTTCCTCCTTCTCCCCCAGCTCATGTAGGCTCTCTAATAAAATCTAAAACAAACAAAAATAAAAACAAACCCAACAACAAAACCCTAGAGAAATGCCAAATTTATGTCTTGAAACATTTATGTGAATTCGGTGTTCGTAAGGGTATGACTAAAGGGATTAGGCAGACACTGATTTAACCCCATTTACACAGGAAGACCCAGAGCTTTCAGTTCATCTTAGAGCCAATGTTCCATTCTGTTTTAATAAGGAATCCAACACAGATGATTTAGGATCACTATGTTAGCAACTAAGATAGTAGAAGTCTTAACCTTGCCAATAAAGTATGTTAAGAATGACTTCTAAGCAGAAACTAATGCAATTTTCCTGATTTAGTTTTATTTTTAACTAAGTATGTTCATTTTCCTACTACAGACCTCAGTGATACACTTGAATTGGCTCTTTACCCACTACTGCCAGGTTGCTTGGTTATCGAAAGTGTCTTTCTAGAGGCGCCTGGGGGGGCTCAATGGGTTAAGTCTCTGCCTTCGGCTCAGGTCATGATCTCAGGGTCCTAGGATTGAGTCCTGCATCTAGCTCTCTGCTCAGCAGGGAGCCTGCTTCCCCCCTTCTCTTTGCCTACTTGTCAAATAAAAAGTAAAAATCTTAAAAAAATCAAGTAATACCATCAGACTAACTAAAGGTATTCTCTTTCCTCTTGAAAAACTGAAGAGTAAGGCCAGTGGTGGCATTGCCACCAACTTTTAGGATCAAAGAGCAGTGGTAAGAAATTTGAAGGTATTTCTGCAAATCTCTAAAATTTCTTCACTATTTCTTCCTGTTTACATCTCTTTTCAATTAACCCTTTGGTAAGTCCTCACTCAAAAACAATCTTTTCTGAACTAATAGTGGGACGGATGATGGTAGGGATGGTCTAAGTTTTACTGCCTCAACAGGACAACTAAAACTTTAGATAGCTACTCTCATGAAAAAGGTAGGATTGTACATGTTAAAAATCTCTATACACTCAATTTAAAACAGGAGGTTTCTTGCATTCCAGTTCGAGGTACACCCCCAAATTATTTAGAATGTATACACATATATATAAATGTACTAGAATTTTTCTAAAGGGAGCCATGGACAAAGAAATAGGGTAAGAATTACAGAAATAAAAACTACTTCCTCATCCCTTATAAATGATTCTTGACTCTGACATCAAACTTCAGAAGCTTTAAAAAAGTGTATATATATATATATATATATATATATATATATATATATATATATGTACCAACACTCAAGAATCTACCTAGACCATGTGTACAAGGATCCTTAAAGCTATAGCTGGGCACTGAGTATTTTCTTAAGCAGAGAGTTGAGTGTAAAGAGCAGTTGCCTCGGGCGCCTGGGTGGCTCAGTGGGTTAAGCCGCTGCCTTCGGCTCAGGTCATGATCTTAGGGTCCTGGGATCGAGTCCCGCATCGGGCTCTCTGCTCAGCGGGGAGCCTGCTTCCCTCTCTCTGCCTGCCTCTCCATCTACTTGTGAGCTCTCTCTCTGTCAAATAAATAAATAAATCTTTGGGGGGGGGGGAGCAGTTGCCTCAGATAAACTTAAGTCTCAGGGGCTTCAAGTCACTCACCCAATGATCACATTTTCATTAGCAAAGAGATGCCCAGATCCGTTCTGTTTTTAAATACCTTAATATTTTCAAAATATGAGAATCAGCATAGTTTTTAAGATATGTATTCAGACTAATAGACACAAAAATGTGAAGAAATCTCTAAGGACAAATGAAATAACCATTCTGATGATGCATGAAGAATACTCAAATCACACAACCTTAATATGGCATTCAAAGACCTTAACAATGTAGGCCCAAACTATTTTTCTAGCCTTATTTTTTTGGCCTATTAATGACTAGCCTGCTGCAGTCCATATCTGTCTCAAACACAAAAAGGATACAAAAAGTATTTATGTTCAGGTCTTTACTCATAGTGTTTACTGACTGACTTGATTTCATTACCCAAATCCCTTGGCATGACTAATCTACTCAGTTCAAAAATTTTTCTTTTGGGAAAACATTCCCTAATCAAGAAAGCTATTACTTTTATTTCCAAAGCAGAAATTGATCTAACTGAAATTCTTATATATATTAACACCATACTAATGACTGGAATACTGAAAACCTAAGATGAAAAATAGCAAAGGAAAATTCATACTAGGTCAAGTCCAGTGTAGGAGTACACTCCATATACTTCCATATAACAATGCATTATTTAAAAAGCAGGAAACCAAATAAACTTAGTATCTCCTTAATGTTCATTAAGACTAATGTTATCCGAATGCTAGTTAATACTAGTATCTTCTGTGTACTGTCATTCCCCAGTTATCTAGTTCCTATTATCATGTGTAAATCTTTAATTCATAACCATCCATAACATATCCCTATCTACACACCTTCCTGATTTTATTTCTCAACGAATACTAATGCTCTTCTGAAGACGCGTGCACGCACACACACATATCAACCGCTGTTCCAACCACCCTGCCTTCTAGAATGGTGTCAACCACCACCCCCAATCTGCAAGTCTTCAACACTTTATAACCCCTAGAGCAATTTATATTGTTAATTCATTTATGTATGCTTACTGTATCCTATTTTGTATTAGTTGGTTTGCTCAATAGAGACTTAGGATCTTTAAGTAGTTTTGCTATAATACTCTACAGTGCAAAGCCCAGTGGCAAGTATGCAATAAGGAAATAAAAAGGGAACATGGAAATGCTACGTAAGTCCTATTTTATCATTTGACAAGTCAGTCCTTACTTTTAGTTGGCATACGAATGCAAACAAAATACTAGACGTGTTCCCGTATGCCCTGACAATATATAAACTGACTCTTTGAAATCAACAGAAATGTCACCCACCCTAGTCTACCCCTGACCATTTGCAGGATGGATTTTCCATTATATTTACAAAGGGGGTAGCTCGAAAACATCTTTGTTATTCATTACAAGATAATGTTCATTACATATTAGAAAAAAATAAATGGTTAGACAAGACAAAACACCTTTAACATACCTGTCATAATAATCTCGTTGAAAGTCATAGTCCAAGTCAAAAGAGGAGCTGAAAAATAAATACCAAAGAGGATTAATTTGGAGCTGTTGATGTAAATTCACAACAGCAGATGGGAAAAACAAAAACAAAAAACCATGCAAAACCAACCATAACAAATAGATCAAGAGATTAGCATGGAATAATTCCCAATCATTTAAGCAACAAATCACTAAAATTCCAATCATCTTAGAAGCCAGTGGACATGCAGCAGCTAATTTGCAAATTTAGGCACAAATCTGCTACAATTCCAGCATAAAACATAACACTAATATAAGAACACTGAAAAGTACAACAGTAAACCAAATATTCTTATGCTATTCTCCTTCCCTTTCGTATTTCCCAGCTTCTTACAAACTAAACAACTCCTCTCCAAAGATTTCACTGTATGTTAAAAATACCAAACTGCTCTTTAGTAAATAAAAAAATCTCAGGGAATTCTAACAATTCTCTGGGAAATGGGCGAAAAGGAGGTATACTAATTAAAAATTAATAAAGCATCATTTTTACACAGATAAAACATACTATAGTTAACCCTCCCCACATCCAGAAAACAGATAGAGAAGATGCCCACTGATGGACACAATGCAGTTATAAATAATAAAGTTCCGGACCTGAGTAGAGGGGACGGAGAAGGGTGTTCTGGTACTGACCCGTACATCTCCGCTGCAGATCGTTTCACACCTGCTTTTCCTCGGTTCACTTTTGGCTCTGCAGCCAGATTAATATCTGAAAAAAACAAAAACAAAAAACAAAAATAAAGACAAAAACTTTAACGACAACCCTGTAGGGGTAGTGTAGCATCTTAAACTACAGTTTTAAGATGTGTAAGTAGTATATAAATCAAGAAACACTGAACATGATGTCCCATCTTTTCTTATGTAAAAAGGGCTCATGAATTTTTACAAGGCTAGGACTTAATTTTTCAATCCTTTATCCTCTGTTCTGTAACAAAAAGGTATTCATTATGTATAAGACATATATACACTTATTATATATAAGACATGACCATTTGTCTTTGGCACCTTCTACCCTCAGTTCCCAATAAAATGAAACTCTCACTACTAAGAGCATATATTAGGAATGAATGACTGACCTCAGAGATATAAAATACATAGCAATTCACGAATTATTATGAGTAGGATACCCTTAAAGTATCCCCAAAGGTGAATTTTCATTCTCCTTATAAATAGGATCAGCTGTAAAAGTTGAAAGATAGGGGGCGCCTGGGTGGCTCAGTGGGTTTAAAGCCTCTGCCTTTGGTTCAGGTCATCCCGGGGTCCTGGGATTGAGCCCCACGTCGGGCTCTCTGTTCATCAGGGAGCCTGCTTGCTTCCCTTCCTCTCTCTCTGCCTGCTTGTGATCTCTATCAAATAAATAAATAAAAATTTTTTAAAAAGTTGAGTAATAGTTTAGATGACTACTATTCAGCCAATTGCTCAACTTTTCCATACACATTTGTGCGTGCGCATGTGTCTCTGTGTGCGCACGCACACACACATACACACACAAACCAAGAAAAGGGAATTAAGGGAACAAAGGAAAAAGTCCTAGGTTCCATAAACGTAATTTTAAAAACACCTATTCCAACATGGCCAGCTATATAGTCCTACGACTCACTGCCTACCAAACAAAAGAATTCATGATCTCTTCCTTATTCTAACAAGAGTCCATTTGTCAAAAACCACCTCTCCAAAACTTAGTTCATCAAATGACCAACTGAAAAAGACTTTTAGTACACTATTTGCTGAACTTCATTACATTAATGAAGAATCTGAAGAGTTTCTGGTTCACTAAATTCATTTCCAATTTCTAGCACCTACTGTTAAGAACAACCTTGCCTTTACAGTTGACTTGTTTTTATCTGAGTAGGTTCCAGGCACAGTTTTCCCCACCTCTACACCTCCATCTCTTAAAAAAACAAAAAACAAAAACAAAAAAAAACAACGCAATTCTAAAATAAAAACAGAACGAGATTATATATCAAGTTGATTACACAACCTCCCCCAACTTTTCCTGAAGATAGTTTATTTATCCATTCAAGAGACAGAGAATGAGCAGGGAGTAGGGAGAGGGAAAAGCAGACTCCTGCTAAGCAGAAAGCCAGATGCCTGACTGGACCCCAGGACCCTGGGCCAAAGGCAGATGCTTAACCAACTGAGCCATCTAAGTGCCCGGATTACACAATCTTATAGAATTATTCCATGTGTCCTAAACTGTAGTAGTGAGTCAATATCCAGAATAGGATATATACTAATAAAAAATCTCAAATCTAAAAAAGTACTTAGTAATCTTAATTTTTGTAAAAAAACAAACAGGCATGGTTATTTTGAAACTGTGGAACTAAGCACATGTAAAATTGTTTTGTTTTCTTTAAAAAAGTGCTTCCTAGTCTACTTACTAAAACTAGACAAAAACTATTAAAAATCAGTAATGAACACTCCCTGGTGTACAGACTGTGGCTTCTAGGTAATTCCCATTATTTTATTAAGTGGCAAACAGATTTAGGTCAAGAAATACATCAGAAGACCTGGAATATCTTGTGATGCCAGAAAGCAAGGATGCAATGAAATTATTATAAAACTAAGATCTCGGGGAGCGTGGGTGGCTCAGTGGGTTGGGTTTCTGCCTTCAGCTCTGGTCATTATCTCAGGGTCCTGGGATCGAGCCCTCCATTGGGCTCTCTACTTGGTTGGGAGCCTGCTCTCTCCCCGCACCTGCCTCTTTGCCTACTTGTGATGTCTGTCAAATAAATAAAATCTTAAAAAAACAAAAACAAAAAACTAAGGTCTCAAGGACACAGGATACACTGGCTACAGATGAAATATTCTGAGCTCTAAAGAAGGATATGTAATGTATTAATACACACCAATTTAAATTATTAGAAATATTAACATTATAGGGGCACCTGTCTGGCTCAGTCTGTAAAGCATGTGACTCTCCATCTAGGGGTTTTGAGTTCAAGACCAATGTTGGGTATAGAGCTTGTAGAACTTCAAAAAAACCCACACTCGGGCAACCTCTTCAGGGTCCCTTCCCTGCTTGGGAGCTTTGTACTAACACTTCGCTGTCGCTCAATAAACCATGCTTTGCTGCCCACCCTTCAAGCTAAAATATTGAAGTTTTTTTTTGTTTTTTTTTTTTTTTTTTAAAGATTTTATTTATTTTGACAGACAGAGATCACAGGTAGGCAGAGAGGCAGGCAGAGAGGAAAGGAAGCAGGCTCCCTGCTGAGCAGAGAGCCCGACGCGGGGCTCGATCCCAAGACCCCAGGATTATGACCTGAGCCGAAGGCAGAGGCTTTAACCCACTGAGCCACCCAGATGCTCCTATTGAACAGTTTTTGAAAAAAATTTATCTGGTCCTTCCAACATGAATGGTATTTCAGAAAAAGCAAATATTAATGAGTTGTTCATTTCAGAAAAGTTAAGCAGAGGGAAATTAGAAATCTACTCTTTTGCAACCCCTTATGAAATACCTCATCAATGATCATCAATGGATGATCACCAGTAAGGTGGAAAATTGATGGCAAACTTTATCACAGATGGATCAAGATGTAAAACCTGAACCTACAAATTATCCTATTCTAGATCTGCACGTCCAATATAGTGAGCTGCTAGCCACAAGCCTGAATTCAGATGTGTCTGAAGTATACACATTTACATTTCTATTGGACAGTGCTGCTCTAGATCTGGCAGTATTACACAAAACAGAGGTAGAGAACAAATTAAATGATACCACAAATAACCAAATCAGTAACAAATTAAAGGTCACAAATTTTTCAAACAGGAAAGGAAGGTATGGGGGAAACTCAAGACTTCAAGACATCTAAGGGGCAATTAATCGGGGGCGCCTGGGTGGCTCAGTGCGTTAAAGCCTCTGCCTTTGGCTCGGGTCATGATCCCAGGGTCCTGAGATGGAGCCCCACACTGGGGGAGGGGGGGTCTCTGCTCAGCAGGGAGCCTGCTTCCTCCTCTTTCTCTCTCTCTCTCTTCCTGCCTCTCTGCCTACTTGTGATCTCTGTCAAAAAAAAAAGGGGGGGGGAGGGTAATTAATCAAATGCCTATGTGGACATGGACTGGATCTTGATCTGAATAAAGCAAGTTATTAAAAAAGTCTGAAATAATAAAGAAATCTAAACATGGATTGAATATTTGATGGTATTAAGGAATTATTGTTGAGTTTCTTTATGTGATAAGAGCAGTGTGGTTTACATTTTGTTAAAAGTTCTTATCTGCAGGATATATGAAGTCTTAGAATTATTCTAATGAAATTTAAAAGAAAACCAATAAAATAGATGAAAACATGACTAAATATTGGTATTTAACAAGATGAGATGTACTTACAAATTCATTAAATTTCTCTACTTTTGTGTTAGTAAATTTCCATGACAGTTAAAAAAAAATATATCATGAAAAACCCTGACTTCATTTTATGACACAGCCATTTTACAGATACCAAAGTTTTATACATGTGTTTTCTTGTACTTTGGATATAGGACAAATAGGTATGAAAATTTCTTATGTATTCTCCAATTACAACTGTTCCATGGATCTTCAATGTCAAGGATTACAAGGTTCTCTAACTTCCAGTATTTTTCCATCCCAATCCAGTATGGTTGGGATTTTTAAAAATAGTTAGCATTTAAGAAGTGTTTACAAGGGGCGCCTGGGTGGCTCAGCGGGTTAAAGCCTCTGCCTTCAGCTCAGGTCATGATCTCAGGGTCCTGGGATCGAGCCCCACATCGGGCTCTCTGCTCAGCAGAGAGCCTGCTTCCTCCTCTCTCTCTCTGCCTGCCTGTCTGCCTACTTGTGATCTCTGTCAAATAAATAAATAAAATCTTTAAAAAAAAAAAATTAAAAAAAAAAAAAAAAGAAGTGTTTACAAATTACACAATACTTTTATTCTAGAATGAGAGTTCTTTATGCAAAGAGCCACTGAGAAACAGTAACCAAACATTCAAAATAGTCTAAAAAGCTGTCGAGGGGCACCTGGGCAGCTCAGCCGGTTAAGCATCCAACTGCTGGTTTTGGCTCAGGTTATGATCTCAGGGTTGTGAGATGAAGCCCCAAAGGCCATCATGTTCTGTGCTCAGGGGAGGAGTCTACTTCAGATTTTTCCCCTTTTCTCTCCAGCCCCACCCCTCTCTAAAAGAAAGAAAGGTGCCTGGGTGACTCAGTTGAGCGTCTGCCTTCAACTCAGATCATGATACCAAGGTCCTGGAATGGAGCCCTACATCTGGCTCCCTGCTCAGCTAGAAGCCTACTTCTCCCTCTCCCTGCTGTTCCCCCTTCTCCTGCTGTGTCAAATAAAAAAATTAAAAACTAAAACTTTAAAAATAAAATAACATCTTTAAAAAAAGAGAGCTGCTCCTGATATTAAGAATAATGCTGTTTACTCCAAGAGTGGAGCTGTCACTTATTTAAAAACAAAACCAGCTGAAATTTTATAATAAATCATGTTATGTAAGAAGTATTTATTAAATGCTACAATCATCATGAAATGCTTAAGTTCTGTGTAGTTCTGTAAGTAAACACCAACATGGAAATACTTCAGGGGAAAAAAATTCACAGCATCCTGAAGAGAGAAAGCCAGGTAGAAAATAAAACATTTAAGGTGGATTTCAACTTGAACACTATGCATTTAAAAAAAAGAAAAAGGAAAAACAACAATGGGGCGCCTGGTGGCTCAGTGGGTTAAAGCCTCTGCCTCCGGCTCAGGTCATGATCGCAGGGTCCTAGGATCGAGCCCCGCATCGGGCTCTCTGGTCGGCAGGGAGCCTGCTTCCTCCTCTCTCTCTGCCTGCCTCTCTGCCTACTTGTGATTTCTGTCAAATAAATAAATAAAATCTTAAAAAAAAAATAAAAAAAAAAAAAAAAAAACCACCTGAATACAAACTCTTGATAATGTTGAAAACAATATGAAAATTTAAATAAGCCACCACAGGAATCTTCAGAAAACTGAAATCTTTTTATTTATTTGACAGAGAAACAGACACAGTGAGAGAGGGAACACAAGCAGGGCTTGATCATCTGAGCCACAGGCAAGGTAGACACTTAATGACTGAGCCATTCATGCGCCCCTAAAAAGTCTCACGTAATTATGAATTGCTGTAAGCTTTATAAATCTAAAGTAGATAATTTTAACCACTAAACAATACATTATCAACAATGGAACTAGCCATTCTGTGGCACTCAAGATGTCTGTGTGCTTGTTCCCTTTTATTCATAAAGGACAAAAAGAAATGGACTTTTGTCTTACAAACCCTTCAGCTTCCCTAATATTCACACACAGAAAAATATAAGCTATATAGGGGCGCCTGGGTGGCTCAGTGGGTTAAAGCCTCTGCCTTCGGCTCAGGTCATGATCCCAGAGTCCTGAGATCGAGCCCCACATCGGGCCCTCTGCTCAGCAGGGAGCCTGCTCCCCCTTCTCTGCCTGCTTCCTCTGCCTACTTGTGATCTCTGTCGAATAAATAAATAAAATCTTTAAAAAAAAATAAGCTATATAAAATTAACTATGATTCTGACAGCAAATCTTAGCAATGGATAAGCAGTCAAAATTATTCATGGAGATTAAATTCTACAATCATCAGAACATCTTATGTACTCTAAGCTCAGACCTCATTCTCAAATATCTGAACATGGTAGATCAGGAGACCCCCTACTGGTGTAACTAAGACCAAAAACAAAACCAGTTTGTACTGCTAATGCTAAAACATATGTAACATTAAGCATCTTTTATTGAGCATGACATGCTAGACTTACACCAGAAGCTTCTCATGAAACATCCTAATTAATCCAAATTCTTGGTAACACCAAAGTACTATTATCTCAGGTAAGAACAGATAACAGACTGGAGGTGCCTGGGTGGCTCAGTGGTTTAAGTGTCTGCCTTGGGCTCTGGTCATGATCCTAGGGTCCTGGGATGGAGCCCAGCATTGGGCTTCCTGTTCCACACGAAGCCTGCTTCTCCCTCTCCCACTCTCCCTGCATCTCTCTGCCAAATAAATAAAATCTTTGGCGGTGGGGGTGGAGAACAGGTAATAGAATGATATACTATACCTCCATTTTAACAGATGAGAAGGCTCAGCCAAGTTATGTAGACTGCCCAAAACACAGTTGTGCCAAGCAATCTGACTCCACAGCCCATGAGTGACTAAGCTATATTGCCTTTGACCATTCTACTGTGAGCAGGACAGCTATTTAGGAGAGCCACTGTACCTTATGTAATGTCATTCCTATTTTCCTGACCTTACTCAAGACCACCAACTGGTTTATCCAGTCTCTGCTACACAGAAAAGAGTAAAATCCTTATTTAGCCAATTACAACTATGAACTTAATAATTTTTCAACTTAGCTTAATGGAAAGTGAGAAAAACAGAAGCATGAACAGAAAAACTCATATCTGAATTAAACAGTCAACGAAGAAATACAACCCAGATCTTACCTAAAACCTGGCCAGCAATCATTCTGCCATCCTCTCCTGCCACAGCAGCACGGGCATTTCTCTCATTAACATACTGAACAAAGGCAAAGCCCTTATGAACAGAGCAACCCACAATTTTGCCGTATTTTGAGAAGATCGCCTCCACATCAGATTTCTTGACCACAAGAGTATTGAGATTCCCAATGAATACACGGGAGTTCATGGAGCGAGGATCTGTCTTGTTGGTAACATTGCTGGCCATTTTCTTTGATGTTAAGGTTCCTCACAAAGCTGAAAAACTGGATGGGAAAAAAAAAAAAAAAACGCGTTCAGGTTAAAAAAAGAGATTAGAACCAAAATACTCCTTGATAAAACTTTCTACTCTTTATTTTGAACACTGTGACTAGAGTATCACATCAGTCAACTTAATCGGCTCTCACAGAGGAAAGTATATTACTATTTTAGAGAGGACAGCTCCTGAATATATGCACCCTTATACAAATTCAGTCCCATCTTCCCTAGTCTATTCCAGCAGTGCCAGATTATCATTTCAAGGGACCGTGGGTTGCGGGGAGGGGGGGTGCTCTTCAAAGACAACTAGCAACACAATTAAGGGCATTATTCATTTCAAGTGAGCCCTCTCTGTTCTTAAGTCCTCAAGTAAATTAGAATACCTTGAACTCTCTATTATCAACTTCTCATATTTTAACCTCCTTTTCATACTAACCTAACCATTTCCTGCCATATATCAAGAACTCCACCTTCTTACACATTGCTATTATTAAAATGAGTCTCACCTATTCCAAAGATATACAAAACTCTGCCCAAACCATTTTTTAGCTAGATAAATGTGGGCAATAGACCCTCTCCCCTTCAAATATAATTAACTTTATTATACTAAGGCAATATATAGACCCAAATAATTCACTCTGGAAATATTTATTTCCAGGTACATCAAACGATTCAAAATATGCCAGAGATATCTTAAGTAACAATACATCATTTTATAGAATACAATGACTCAATCTACTTTTTATGTGATGATCTAGAAAACACAGCTGGGATATTTGTAATACTAGATGGTGATGATGATAAAACTAGCACATAGAACACTGCATGAATTGAGAGAGGACCAGGAGAACTAAGAAGAGTACCACTTTCCTCAAAACAAAAATTATCTTTTTTAAAAAAAATGTATATGAAGGTTCAGTCACATTGTAATTACAAGGAGATCATGTTCTATCACCTTAGGTTTTTTCAAGTAGAAACATTTTGACATTCTTTTAGGGTATGTATCTGCTGCCCCTTCCCACTCCAACTACCAAGCTTAAAACAGTTTAAGATGGTCCCACATTAGATTCAGAGTACCATTCTTAAGATTAATTTATTTTCCATTCATCCCTTTGAAACTCACATCAGATGAGTATTTAGTATGTTATTTTTCCAATCCCCAGAAGAATGACAAACTAGTTCATGAATTACGTAAAAATATCTTCTATATATGCATATATGTGTGTAACAAAACAGGTAGTGTAACATCATTTATATAGATCACTAATATTCTGATCCTTAAAATACTATTCATTTCACAAGTAGTACTGATTTCTAAAGCTGTAACAACCGCTTTTCCCTCCTAGCCTTTCTAAAATTAAGAAAGTCTTTACTTGATTTTGGTTTCTGAACTATAGCTTTATAAACAAGTTAATTTTTCTTAGACTAAGCAGTAAGAATTTACCAAACAATGGCACAGTTACCAACACTCTTTCAACTCTGAGTCCCAGAAAGCCTCCTCAGAACACCAAAAACAGAAACCTACTGAAAGGACTAATTGGTTTCAAATATTACTGCCGGTTATTAAGGTTTGCTATTAATATAAGAGGGGAGAAAACTCAAGCCAGTTTTCTACAATTATTTTCACAAAAAATAAACATATTCTACATATTATAGTAAATAATAGTAACTAAAACGAAAAATCTTCCTAGATTTAATTAGCAATTACCTGTTGGGGAAGAGAATGGTTCTTTCTACATGCCATCAGCATACTGAACAAGAGTGTAAAACAAACGGACAATAATGTCCCCTTCAAATACACTCCTTGGAACCACAGAAGTCGATTTAAATGGTTATTTTTTCACTTTTTACAAAGACGGTACATAGCTAGAACCAATCTAGAAGTAGACAATTTATTACATATAAAGAATGCCTTAGGATATTAAGGATTAAAACCCATGGAACTCCATCTGGAAAGGCTGATAAAGAAACATCCAGATACACAAGTAAAAAGGTGCTAACGATGATTGCCATCTCTGAATTTAAGTATATAATTTTAGGGCGCCTGGGTGGCTCAGTGGGTTAAAGCCTCTGCCTTCGGCTCGGGTCAAGATCCTAGGGTCCGGGGATCGAGCCCCACATTGGGCTCTCTGCTCCGTGGGGAGCCTGCTTCCTCCCGTCTCTCTCTGCCTGCCTCTCTGCCTACCTGTGATCTCTGTTAAATAAATAAAATCTTTAAAAAAAAAAAAAAAAGTATAAAATTTTATCCATTTTCTCCAATTTTATGTGGTTACTAAATTTGCTACAAGAATCCTGTTAATTTCTGTTAACAGTAATAATGACCTCAGCCTCAAAAGCTTGGCTAAAGGATTTAATGCACATACTAAGGATTTAACCAAGGTATGAGCAACAGTAAAGACAGTAAAGACAAGTGAACCCACAAAGGTCCATTAATCCTGTTCCAAGGAACACATCTTCTAAAGAATAAATTACTACAAATTAATACATTTTTTTCACTGGACATTTACTGAATATCTGGTAAGTACTAGGTACCAAAGCTACTTCAAAGGAAAAACATGAAGAGCAGGATTCCTCAGTTTACACTCTAATGATACCACTTCAAAAACTACTGAAGAGGGACCGTATTTACCAAAATTTTACAAATACCAAATGAACTCAGGTCACATTTCACCCTACCTCTGAAATCTGTTGGGGGGGGTGGATATAAAATGGTCAGTATCCTAAATGCAAAGAAACTAAGGCAGGGGGGAACCCCTAGATTTCCCAGAACAAAACATCATCATAGTTTTTGAACCTTTCTGAATCCCCATATAAAAGCAACTAGATAAACTTGGGTGCCCAGGTACCCCAATCAAAATGCCATAATGCAAGCTGGTAAAGGGAAGCCAATAGCCCACATGTGCATGGTTATCTACCACTGCAGGAGAACCAGAAAGACCTAGAAATGGAAGAATCCCCAAATACCCATTTAGTGGAAAGTCAAGGGAGCCAATTTTAAGAAAAGCAGTTGAAACAGGAAGGGTTTTTTCCCTGCTCCAAGAATGCATGAGTACAAGGTACTGTAACAAAAATGTCTCAAGATGCCAGAGTGGCTTAGTCTCCACAATCTCAAGACTAACTCAGAGCCCCATGTGCAGCATTCCATTCTTTAAACCCTACCAACCCCCCAAAGTAACTACTATTCTTTGTAGTCACCACTTTAAAAATTTTTATTATTTGTGTGAGAGCGCGAGTGGGTGCGAAGGGCAAAGGGAGACTCCCTGCTGAGCAGGGAGTCAGATGTGGGGCTCCATCCAAGAACCGGGAGATCATCACCTGAGCCAAAGGCAGACACTTAACCAACTGAGCCACCTAGGCACCCCCTTAAATTCAAATTTATTGCTTGAAGAATAGAGGGTATTTAACCTGAAGTTTCCCAGTCTGGATTTTCCACAAGTTCATACTCTTAGTACAATTCCATACACTTTATTTTTTGCTTTTTACCTTACATAGATAGCCCTGCAGCACATTACATTCTAAACTCATTTTTAATTTTTAACAATTTGGTATTCTTATTACCAACAACGGCAGTCTTTATTCACAAATCACTTCAGGGGCACCCCAGCTGCCTCAGTAAGAAGAACATAGGACTCTTGATCTCAGGTCTTGAGTCTGAGCTCCAGGTTATGAGTAAAGATTACTATATATAAAAAAAAAATACCTGCAAATCACTTTCAATAATGTGGGAATTATGATCAAATGTTTTAAGTCAATGGGTGCCTGGGTGGCTCAGCTGGTTGAGTGTCTAACTCTTGGTGTCAGCTCTGGTCATGACCTTGTGGATCTTGTGGGATCAACTCCCCTGACTCGACGCTTAGGGGGAGTGTGCTTGGGATTCTCTCTCTTCCCCCTCTCCCTGTGCATGCATAAGCAAGCTGTCTCTAAAATAGACAAATTCTTTTTTTTTTTTTTTTTTTTTTTTTAATTTAGTTATTTGACAGACAGAGATCACAAGTAGGCAGAGAGGCAGGGAAGCAGGCTCTCCGCTGAGCAGAGAGCCCGATGTGGGGCTCGATCCCAGGACCCTGAGACCATGACCTGAGCCGAAGGCAGAGGCTTAACCCACTGAGCCACCCAGGCGCCCCTAAAATAGACAAATTCTTAAAAAAAATGTTTGCAGTTTAAAATTTGGTTAATCCTGGGGCGCCTGGGTGGCTCAGTGGGTTAAGCCTCTGCCTTCGGCTCGGGTCATGATCTCAGGGTCCTGGGATCGAGCCCCGCATCGGGCTCTCTGCCTGCCTCTCTGCCTACTTGTGATCTCTCTCTCTCTCTCTCTGTCAAACAAATAAATAAAATCTTTAAAAAATAAATAAATAAAAATAAAATTTGGTTAATCCTTATCAATCAGTTTATAAATTCCACAACCGGAAGTTTCTGGCACTCTAAATACTCCAAATTTCCTCACAGATGAAATTAGTCCAGTCACATCCTTTTTAAAGTTTTCTCAGAAAAAATGTTTTTTAAAGTTTTTGTTAATTCCAGTTAATATATAGTGTTATATTAGTTTCAGGTGTTAATAGAAAAACCCTTTTCTAAAGGTTTACGTAGTTATGTGTGTACGTAATCTCTATACCCAATGTGGGACCTCAACTCAGCCCAGAGATCAAGTTGCCTTTTCTACCAACTGAGCCAGCCAGATGCCCTAAGGGGGAAAAAAATTGTCAAATTCATTCTTTTTAACATCCAAGTAAAGAAAAGTACACAGAATAAAAAAAAATTCTTTCCTAAAATTGGTTTCAAAGAGTAATATCAAGAGAGTAAACTTCTGGGGCACATGGGGTAGCTCAGTCAGTTAGGCTTCCGACTCTTTGATTTCAGCTGAGGTCATGTTCTCAGGATTGTGGAATCCAGCCCCATGTCTGGCTCCATACTGGGTGTTCAGTCTACTAGAAATTCTGTGTCTCCCTCTCCCACTGGCCCTCCCCAACTCATTCTCTCTCTCTCTCAACAATAAAACAAAAACAAAAAA